TCCCCCCACTCTCACTGCTTTTTGGCCACAGTAACATTAAATTGACCAGTAGCTGTCAGTTATCCCTTCATAATATTCTCTCAAATTATTGTTCTTTTTCATAGTATTTGTGATTCTCTGAAAAGACATGTTAGCTTATTAATTATCACCTCTCTTTGAAAGTAGATACCTTGTCTGCTGCTCTTACTTGTTATATAGCCTTAGCGTTTAGATGCTTTTTAAAATTTTTTTAAAATGAATGTTCAAAGAAATACCTTCCTCTAAGCTGCTGATTTTCACATACTTCATGGAGTTAGCTTGGGAGAGTTTTCTCAGGAAGTGTGATTGAGCAAAAGTTTAACATGTGAGGTCAAAAGCTGTTAATGAAAACTTGCAAATTATCTTTTCCTATTATTATTGAGGATAAAGCTGCATTGTTTAACCACTTTAAAGCAGAAAGCTAAGTCCTCTAAAGATGTAACTAATTTATTTATTCACTGGGTAATAGCAAAATAAATGCCAACCAAGCAACTAAAAACACATTTATCTTCTAAAAAGTATACAGCTTTTCCTTTCTAATGTGGCATTTTTCTTAGCTTTTGTCTTTTCAGAAAAAGGTGACATAGTCTTGTCCAAAGTTTGAACACAAAAATATTTAACTATAGGGTGATAACATCATCTAATAAAGACAAATGTTATTGGTCACATTCCAGTAGGTTGAATATTGAATATTCAGATCAGAGCAAATGAAAAGAGAGGCTAAAGCTATCATGGTTTGCTCTGTTAACTTTGTGTTATATTGTCCCCATGTGTGATATTATTGTATGAGCCCAGTGGTAAGGAGTGGCACTGCTAAACTGTGGGTGCGAAGTTTGAATTCACCAGCTGCTCTGTGGGAGGAAGATGGGTAACCACCTCCTGCAGGAGCTGCAGGTGCTGACGTGTCAGGAAGCATGAATGGCAACAACGCGGCAACCTCCCATGCAATTTTCAGTCTTTCAAAACTGAAGAGTCAGCTGTGAGTTGGTTCTAACTCACCAGCTTGTAATAACAATAGTAAAATATAGAAGACACATTTTAAAACCGGCATCAGTAGCCAGGAAATTAAAAGATGTTTTGCCATGGGAAAGTCTGCTGTTAGGGACCTCTCCAAAGAGCGGTGGTGTCTCTCTGGAGACTAAGGTGCACTGATATAGGCCGTGGTCTTTGCTATCACTTGTTAAGCATCAGAGAGTTGGACAATGACTAGGGAGGATAGAAGGAGAATTGATGCCTTTGAGCTTTGGTGCTGGAGAAGAGAATTAAGTGTACCATGGACTGCCGAGAAAACAAACAGATTCAGCCTGGAGAGGGTTAAACCAAGCGGCAAGGATTCTGAGGCTCCGTCTAACATACTTTGGACATGTTGTAAGGAGGGACTGGTCCTTGGAGAGGGACATTGTGCTTGGGAGGGTGGGGGGACAGCGCTGGAGGGTAAGGCCCTCTGTGAGGTGGATTGATTCAGTGACTGGGGTAATCGGGATGGGAGTGTCAGAGACAGTGCGATTGTCACAGGACAGAGCAGAGTTTAGGGCTGTTGTAGATAGGGTCGCTATGAGTTGCAAGTGACTTGACGGCACATAACAACAACAAAATAGACATTACCTTTTCAAAGCTATCTTGATTTACTTGCTACTTGACACCGAGTTTCACTAGCAACAATGCCTCTTTACATAATTTTAAAGTGGTAGTATAGAACAGCTGTTAGTTTATGTTGTATAGTTTTTCCTCATTTTTTCCCCACTGTTATGTAAAATGCTTTCTTCCTGTAATTCATTTGGGAGAGTAGTGCTAATCTTCCAGGATGTTTTGAGAATTATTGATAGAAATTTTTGTTTTATCAGCAACTCAATATATAGTAATTTTTCATGTATCTACTTGATTAGGGTCCAGTGACCAAACCATTAGGTAAAGTTGAGGTTATTAGAAAATGGAGCTGTCATTACATAACTTCTAGATCATTGAGAATCCAGTCATGTTAATGTAGAACTAAGCATCACAGCCAGTATTACTCTAGCTTTCCCCCTGAGCATTCCAGGCGTATGCCATTAATATGCAAAATAGTTGGGGAGTAGAGCCTTTTCTATGGTAATAAATGTAATATGTTGGATAGAAGCCAAAGCATTTAAGGCAGTGAATTATGTTTTCAGGGAAGATTCCCCACTAAGTTTTGGGTGCCAATGCATGCCAATGCCTTGTATCCAGTTGTGCGTGGTCGCTTTTGTTTGGTTATGTGATTGCAAACATGGTGATTTAAAGTTTGGCTGTGTTTTGGAGATGAGTAGTAGCTCTTGAGCAAAGGTGTGGTTTGAATAAATTGATGTCTTAAGAGGATTGTTGTTATTAGATGCCGTGGAGTTGAGTATGACTCAGAGCAACCGTATGAAAAACGGATCTGAACCCTATCCGTTGTGTGTGATCCGTACAATCTCTGACACATTCGAACCCATTGCTGCAGTCACTCTGTCAATCAACCTGGCTAAGGATCTTCCTCTCTTTTGCTGTCCCTCCACCTCTCCAAACATGATGTTCCTTTCCAAGGACTAGCCTCTCCTAGCAGCATGAGGATTAGTTTGACATAAGAGGATTAGTCAGAGAGTAATAGATGAGGTCTGTCAATGAGAGTTACATGATGAAGATAAAAGATATTGAATACTGGAATCAGTAAGCTGGATATGAATTGCATGTTGGCATAGAGATGATTTTTGGGTACCTTAAAAAGTATATATTCATTAGAATAAAATTCTTTATTATATACCATTTTTCAGAAAGTTTGTCACCTTGTCATAGCAGTACGCCTATACCTCAGACCCCAGAGACAGCCTTTATAAATGGCTATGTATTGATGTACTATACAAAATTGAAAATGAAACTATCATTTTATAGTGCCTGTCATATTTTTAAAGGGAAAAATGGTATGTAATTACATACATACATACATACATACATACATACATATATATATATATACCAGTAATTTTAATGCTTTTTAAAATACTTGCTTAAAGTGTTTTTATTTTAAAAATAAGAGGATATATGTGTGTGTATATGGAACATGTATAGACACCATGTAGTTACTGCTTTATCATAGTGTTTTGGTGCTATTTATACATATCCGTCTTTACTTAGTCTTGTTTTATTTTTAAATTTATTTGTTGATGCATAAGACTTAAGAGTAAAACAATAAAGAATTTAAATAAAAATAATAGAAGATATTGCTGGTCTTACCTTAGGTATAGTATATACTTATTGCTGATTATATTTGTGGAACTTTATTGAAAATAGATAATTTGACAGAAATGACAGGTGTGATAGATCATCAAAAGTTGCAGACACTTTGGTACTTTATCTCTAAATACTACCAACACGTATGTCCTAAGAAGGACCTTCTCGTCATCATGCTAGAAATGCACCATTACTGTGATACTATTAATCTACAACATAGTACATGTTCAGCAGTACACTTATAAAGTCCTTTTTATTTTTATTAAATTTATTAAATTTTGTGTACTGTCAAATCAGATCTGACTGATATAGGAGCAGATTGTCCCTCCCTCTCCAACAGAACACTTAGTGGATTTGAACTGCGTGCTTCTGGGATTGCAGTGCAGCTTCTTGTCACTAGGCCACTAAAGCTCGCCAATGAAGTCCTTTTTTGAAATTGTGATTTTAACTAAAATTTACAGAAAAGTTGGCTTTTCATTCATTCTTTGATGCACATTTTCCTCCCTTCTCTCCTTAGTTCACTTAAAAAAAATCTATTCATTGTTGTATAAATTTCCTCTCTCCCATTCACTCCTCTTCCTTAATAAAGTTATTTGATTAAAAAAAAATTAGGACAAATTCTAGTCAGTCGACACATCATACAGTTACTTGCTGTGTCTGACAGATCTTAATCTAAGACAGTTCCCTTACTTTTTTTTTTTTTTTTTGGTCTTTATCACATCTCTGCATTTTTTTTTTAAGGAATCCTATTGGCAGGGATGTTTTGTTGGAAAGAATAGAGTGATCTTGAGTTTGTCTCATAATTTTCTTGAAAGCAGACATTTCTAAGAGTATAAAAAAAAGTTGGTTTTATGTGCCATCGAGTCGCTGTGTACAACAGCCGTAAACTCTGTTCTATCCTGTGCCAGTTGAAAAGTATGTAACTTTAATTTGCTGAGGATAATCATCTGATGATGATTCTTCTCTTCAGTGTTGAATCTCCTGTAGTATAGAAAAGCTTCAGTTTTGCTAGGACATTTGTAGGGTATTGCCAAAAAGACTGTTTTAAATGAAGGAAGAATCAGGAAATAGCACTTATGAGAATTCTGTACTCTTTTGTTCAGCTACTTAACAGTTTAATAGAAGTCAAACTTCTCTTTGGACTGGTTTATTTTACCTGCGTTTATCCTGTTGCTTACAACTTTAAGGGACTAAGAATAGTGGTGAATATTTCTAAGCATCAACTGTTTTTTCCAGTGTATAACTGTAGTTATACTGCTTCATTTACTGCACATGGGGAAAATATCTTAAATTATTTTGTAGAAAGGAATAAATTAGAAAGCCAGCTATGCATCTTGTATTTTACTACCACTGTTCTACAGTGAATTTTTATAATCTTTTCTTTTCATAAGCAATTTTATACTGGAAAGATAATTCTAGAGAGTGCAGTGGATAATTAATAAGTAATTGTTTAATAGCTAATTAATGACAGTAACTAGAAAATTTCATTTACAATTATTTTTCATATTTGTATTATGATAATTGATAGAATTGATAACAACAATGAGGCATTAATTTCTAAATGACTGTGGGCTTTATTTTCTGCTTTGAGAGAGGTCTCTAGGCATATGAAGTATGTGAGATTAATGACCAATGTAATATTTGATTAATCAGAACTATGCTATTCTAGTGGAAAGATCGAAATACTTTTCCTATATATGCCAAGATAATAGATCTTTAATTTTCCCCCCCTCACTACTCACCATTTTCTTTTTTAGGCAACAGAAATTTTGCCAAAGATGATCCATTGGAGTTTAAGTCTCACCAGTGGTTTGGAGCATCTGTGAGATCAAAGCAGGATAAGATTTTGGTAAGTTTACTGTAGGTTAGCTTTAATTCATTGAGATATAGGTGCAGAAAGTTCTGCATTTTGAAGCTGTTAATAAAAGTCAGTGTACCTCATGTGCAAAACATAAAAAATAAGGTATCTCTGATCACAGGGTACTCCACTAAGGATACCATCAGCTGATAATGAAAGTCAGTGTACCTGGCTGGTGTGCAGAACATAAAAGTTAGATAAGGATCCCATCTCTAATTGCCTTTCAAAGATCTGGCTTCTGCTGCTCTCCAGTTTCTTTTCTACTTTGTTAATTTTTCCTCTCCTCACTTGATACTTCTCTTCTGGCTTTTCTTTTTATCTTCTTTCCATCCTGGCATAGGAATAGTGTGCCTTTGATTTATTCAAGACCTTAATACTCATCTCTTTATTTTTTTTTTTCATGTTTTAAGGACTTTTCATTAAAGCGAGAATTTTATAATCCAAATTACATTTCCTTGCTCAGTTATCAATTCTGTTACCTAAAACAGAAGTGACATTCTGAGCTATTCCACAGTAAATGATTGCAAAATTAAAGAAAGGAATGCTTTAAATTTTTGTACTTTGCTTAAAATTCTTTTTCCCAGCCTCTAGAAAACATAAATTTGTTTTTATATTTTACTATTTTCCCCCCTTTGTTTAGTTTTTAAATGACTAAGTAATGTAGGACTAGCGCATACTCTGTATATCGGTTCAAACTTTCCTTTTTTTTCCTTTTTTTCTTCAATATTTAAGCTTTTCGATGTTTAGTTCTTTTTCTTCAGTGAAGCATGAGTTTTCTTTCATGGTCCCTGATCATCTGTAAGTATAAAATAAAGGCGGTCATAAATACATATACACACAAATATTTCTAATAAAATCCCACGGTAGAGATACCATTTCCCAAACTGGTAATTAATAAACACTGCGCATTGCTGCTTTCCTCTTTGGGATTCTTAGAAATAAAGACTGGTTCTCTTTGTTCACCAAACCCTTAAAAGCATAACCACTGAAATCTATTAGTAAAATCTGAAGTCGTAATCAAATGGAAAACCTCTTCTCTTTAAAAGAAACAGAAACAACCACCTTTTACCTGGTCTTTTTCTCTTTTATTGTTCCTCCCACTCCATTTCCTCTTAGCTATACTCCTTTTCTCAAGAACAGTGTTTTATAGTACTTCTTCACATTCTCAGCTATTCCAGTCACGTGTGGCTAGGTAAAGTCTAGGTTATCACTGACTTTCAGTGTTTATAATCTATTGAGAGTTACCTTTGTAATCTAAAAACTGCACCTCTGGTGATTCACATCCACCAGTGGCTCACTGGAGAAAAACTGGGCAGTTTCCTACTGTGCAGTTTAAGAAACTCTGGAGTTTATTGGGTTCTTAAATTTTCTAACCTGACAACGGTACATTTGATTATAAGTTAATACACAGTGGAGGGTCCATTTGCCGTTTGTATTTAGTGTTGAATATTTTCTTTATGTTGAATTAGAATGTGATTAAGAAGAAAGAGTTATTTACCAGGGAGGAATTTAGCAGTGATGGCCATCTGGTTATTTGGTTCCCTATTGCTTGTCTTTGTTTGCAGGCCATTTCTGGGGGTGGCTGTGGAGGATGATGTTCCCAGGATCTCCAGGGGAGGGCTAGATCACTTGGTAGTCGGTTTGGATCCTTTTGATCTATTTAAACTTTTTTAGGCAATGTGCTCTGTGCTAACTTGTCTGTTTAGCATTTGGGAATCAGATGGAATTGAACAGTGGTGTTTGGTGAAGAGGAGGAACCCCAAATCAGACCTTTGGGCTCATCTCCAAGTTCAGTACTGACTTGGTATTTGATTACTCTCTTTTTCTATTTCCTCCTCTGCAAAGTAGGGATAACAATTGTGTTACCTCTGTTGTGTTTGTTAGGATAAGTCAGATAATCTGCACAGAGTGGCTGCATGGCGCTTGGCATTTTGTAAGCCTTTACAAAATTTAGCTGTTTCTTTTGTGTTAATATTCATGCTTCATCATGGAGATACATGAACAATGTAAACCACAGTGCTTTTGTAGAAAGAGGTATGGTGGCATGCTAAGTTTGCATTGTCTAAATATCTGTGTGTGTGTTTAAAGTAAAAATAACATTGAAAAGAATGGAGATCCCAGAACACTTGATTGTGTTCAAGTCAAACAGGTTCCTAGTCCAAGGAGCTCTTGTCTCACAGAGCAAGGGAGCACTTCATGGTTCAATATGAGGGAAGGAATGTGTCAGGGATGTATTCCTTCTCTACACCTTTTTCATTTGTAAACTAAACATATCATTTGAGAAACTGGACTTTATGAAGAAGAGTGTGGCATGAGGATTGGAGGAAAATTAAACAACACCTTGTGTTACACAGATGACACAACTTGCTGAAGGTAAGGATTTGAAGCACTTTATGCAGAAGATTAAGGACTGCAGACTTTAATATGAATTGCCTCTCAGTGTCAGGAAGAGAAAATCTTTGCTACCAGGCAAATTGACAGCATCATGGTAGATGGAGAAAGGGTTGAAGTTGGTAATTATTTCATCTAACTTGGATCCCCAGTCAGCATCCCTGGCACCAGTAGTTAGGAAATCAAAAGATGAGTTGCATTGGGAAAATCAGCTGTCAAGGACATCTCCAGAATGCTAATGAGCAGGGATGTTAGTCTAAAGACTAAGGTATGCCTGATCTCAGCCATGATCTCAGTTGCTTGCTATGCTTCTGAAAGCTGCACAGTGACTAAGGATGAGAGAAGCTGTGGTGCTGGAGAAGAGTAGTAAACATGCTGTGGACTACGAAGAGAACTTAACAGGTCTGTTCTGAGGGAAGTGAAGCCAGGTTGCTCCTTGGAAGCCAGGATGATAAAACTCCGTATCACATACTTTAGGCATATTGTAAGGAGTGGCCAGTCCCTGGAGAAGGACACAGTGCTTAGAAGGGTAAAATATCAGTGCAGTAGACGAAGACCCTGAATGAGGTGGACTCACATTGTGACTCTGGCAATGGAATTAGGTGTGTCAGAGATGATGAGGTTGGTTCAAGATAGCACAAGGTTGTAGTTCATAGGGCCGCTATTTGTCATAGTCAACTTGATGACACATGACAACAACAAAATATATTCCTGTTTATGTGTTTAACAAAAAAAAAAAAATAATGCTTAAGAAATGCTTAGCATCAGGGAAAAAGAATAGTTCTGAGGTGAAAAGCCATATTTATGGTGCAGGTCCTCATGGATGACCTGGCAGAGCACTGATCATTAGAGATTATAGAGTTAAGCAGCTGGAATGATACCACACACCAGGTAAGTACTCAGTAGGTGGGAGTTTGTTCCTTGTGGCAGACAATGAAAACAACAGCAGAATTCCTTGGCTGTTTGTTAATTGCCATGCAGCCATTTTTCCTGGCTCCTGATTTCACTGGATCACTATTAGATCCATAAGCCAGGGAACTAAAGCTTTCTTTTTTCCTCAGCTTTTGCTGACACGCTTCTTGACTGTGTTTCTTTAGACTTTCCTTTGTCATATTCCTTGCTCTTTGCTGTCACTCATGTAACAAAGCCTTGTCAAGTGACCTTTCTGGATCCACACTGTGATATATAAGCTGTCTCATTGCTGGTTTCTGATCATTTTCAACTATTCCAGAGAGTTGCTTGTGCACGCACTAACACACATACACAGCCTGGAAGTTCAACTTGGCCTTCAGTGTGATGATTATAACAGCATATCTGTGGTCCAGACTAGCTAACTAGAATGCTGATGAATTACAGACATGTGCTTATTTGTCATGGGACTTTTCTGCACTGCTTAAACTGACTGGAGCCAGTTAGGCTTAGTCATGGAGGACAGAGCTACCAAATAGCAAGTACAGGGAAGGGGAAATGGTTTTTTTTTTAAAAAGTATCCAGACGTTTTGGTGATGGTTGATGGAATAAAATCAGATAGACAGTACTCTGTGGGTATGTACATTTTATAACTGTATCTTATGTGTTCTAATTTTTTTATTCATATTAAGTATAATATTCAATATACATTTTCGGTTTTTTAAGCATATTCTTCCCATTTAATTATTTTTTTCTTATTCATTCATTATTTTACATTTTCCTCCCTGCCCACCCCTCCCTCCAATTCACTTTTCTCTTTGAGAAAGAAAAAAAAAATTCTTTCATTGTTATACTATCCCCTGCAGCCCCAAGTCCACAGACCATACTTTACTATCATTTCTTTTCCTAAAATCTTGTCATGAAAATAATACCTAATCATATATTCCCTTTAAACAGTTCTCTCCCTCATCTGTTTCAATGCCGTGTACATTATTTATCCCCTCTTTTCTTAATGTTCCCTCCAACCCCAATGTCAGTCCTGTTTTACAACAGTGGCACTATGAAGTATTTGTCCTTTTGTGACTGAGATATATCTGCTTGGATGGCACTTCTGGTTTCTTTAGAGTATATTCCCAGTAGTGGAATTGTTGGGTCAAATGGTATTTTTTGAGAAAGCGCCATACTGTCTTCCATAGTTCTAATTTATATCAACCCTCTATCCAGTTTCTGAGAAATTAAAACTGACAGTACTATTTCTCCCTGAGAATGTTTAGTGAATTTGCACAGGCAACCTTTCATTAGCAGTGAAACATATTATGCACTGTCCCATCAGAGCCATTTTGATACAGTGGATTAAGCATTGGGTTGGTAACCAAAAGTTTAGTAAGTTGAATCTGCCATTTACTCTACAAGAAAAAGAGGAGGCAGTGTGTTCCATAAACTTTTACAGCCATGCAGATTCTGTGAGACAGTTACAGTCTGTCCTGTGTGGTCACAGTAGGTTGGAATTGACTTGATAGTAGTGGATTTGGGTTTAGTTTGTTGATTTATGCCAGGAACTCAGCCAGAAAAACATAAATGGATGAAACACTGGCCTGACCTTGGAAAATGTCCCAGTCAACTGAAAGATGAAGTATGAACAAATTCACAAATACATCTAATGTGGGTTAGAATGTAGATATGAAGATTCAGAGAGGGAGAACCCACATATGACTGTGAGAGATTAGGGGAAGATTTATCTGGCAGGTGAAATTTCAATAGGGCTTTGAAGAATTAGAGATGGTTTGTGGATTGAACAATGGAAGCATTCTAGAGAGAGGCACAAAGGAGCTGGAGGAAGCAGATGGAACAGTTAGTCCTTTCTGGGGCATTGATTATGTGTATTAAGCAGGACCGCGACCTGTTTTCAGGTTTTTCAAAACAAGCATAAAGCCAGTGTTGCTGTTTGCAATGTTTGTGTTAGTGCTTTGCTTAAAATTTTTACTGAAAATTCACTGAATTGTGTTTGGTAAATGAAATTGCTCCACTTTTATTTAATTAGCATGTTAGTAAAACATTATTCTATCACTTATATTTGGTACTGAAATCTATAACTCTGAAAACAAATCTTTTTTTTTCTTTATGCACAAATTATTTATTTTTTTCTATAATTATATTTTATTAATTTTCATAAACATTTACAGAGATTTTGGGTTTCCATTCATTCATTGTTGCACTATTCTCTCTACCCTCCTCCCAGTTTGTTCTTGTCCAGATGCCACAGTGCTTGTCAAAGCCAGTTCTGATTAATCTTCTTTGTCAGTGTGTCCTTTGCCATTCCCTATCACTCCTCCCTGAGAGAGACTTCACCCTGAGTCATAAGGAAAAGGGGATGGCGTATTCTCTTAGCTACTTCCTGCTGAAAAGGGACGCTGTGGGTTTCAGGGTGAAGATCTTCTCTCACTACTCTAAAGGGCCCCTTTGGCAGTAGGAAACACATAGACTATTATGGAAATTGATTTTGGAATTTAGATGCACTCTTATTGATTGTACTTGGCCATACATGTTCATATCCTTGAAGATGTATCATGGGGGTGTTGCAACCTAGAAGACACAAATTTGATGGCCTTTCTCCTGCCAGGTTAGTTCCTCAACAGCTCGCCTGATAGCTCCAGGTGATGTCTGGATCCAAGGTGGTGCCCCGAGGTCACTGAAAACAAATCTTATGTTGTTTGGCAAGAGAAGAGAAGGAGCACCACATTCCTTTTCTAATATGAGAAATTAAATGCTTTCTAATGCCAGGATGTCTCCTTTGTGCTTGAAAGTGCTATTTAGAATCATTTCAATCTATGACTTTCAGCTGAGCATAAAACATAAAAAAGAAATGTGCTACCTGTTATTATTTTTAAAACATTTTTGAAAAAATATATTTGGGCTACAAATACAACATTCAGAAAATTGATGAAAGTACTTCTTTTTAAAATCTTTATTCCATACTTTGATAATGAACATAAAGTATAAGGTAAGTTTGTTAGCTTTTCTTAATGCTTAGAAAGTGCTGTGACATTCTGTGTGTGATAGTATAAATAATCTGAAATATTGATTTTTTTTCAGAGAATTTCACTGTCACGACCTGTGCCCTCTGATTCTAGGCTTGTGCCCCATTGTACCACTGGAGGACTGAAATGAAGCAGGAGAGAGAACCTGTTGGAACATGCTTTCTTCAAGATGGAACAAAGACTGTTGAGTATGCACCGTGCAGATCAAGTATGTATCGGAAGTTGTACCAACTTTAAAGGGGAGCAGAACACCTAGTTTGTAAAAAAATATGTGTGTGTGTGTGTGTGTGGTCTGTGAGTTTTCCATAAAATGAAAGCTTGTGTATAATATTTTAGACCTGTGAGCAGAATTCTGAGAGCAGAATGACCAGATGAATCATTCCCATTAAGGTGAAGAAATTACATATATGTGTCTGTTAAATGAGTTAAAATAAAGCTCATTTTTAAGCACTGTTTGTCAGAAGATGCTCAACTAAGTCTCTTACCTAACGATGCTTCTTCAGTAGGATTGAGGCACTTGTATGCTTATAAGTTCTGTGATGTAATTCTAATGGTACTAAAACTTGAAAATGCACTGCATTCTATTAGTAACTATAGAGAGACAGCTTAAATTGGGAAGTGGAACAGAAAGCTCAAGTCTGAGTCTGATACTTCTTGCTCTTCATCATTTTCTCTATTAATTCATTCCCAATCTCATCCCTTTCTTGATGCTTCAGAAAATCCCATACTCTCCTGTTATTGTGAAGTGCTGTCAAGCTGTGACTCATAGTAACCGTGTAAGCTGCACACTGACACCTTGCCCTATCCTGTGCCATCCTTATCGTCTCTACCAAGCTGAAAGCCATTGTTGCAGTCACCTCTCCCCAGTAATATTTAAAATTTCAAATGAAAATATATTTGGAAAACTTATTTTGAAGATTTGTGGTTTGATTGTTATTGTTGTTGTTAAGTGCCATGGAGTTGTAGACAATTCATAGCGACCCTGTGAACAAAAGACCTGAACACTTGTATAACTTTCATTGTTTCTCAGAGTTCATAGGCAAACTGTTTACAGAAGTGGATGCCACTCCTGCTTCCAAGCTTGTTTTAATCAGGGAGCTCCACCAAACACTGTCCACCATGGGTAACCATTATCGCATTTGACACACCAGTGTCACCCTGTTTGGCATCACAGCAACCAAGAGTTACCTCTGTAGGAGTTAACCTCTGTACAGCAAACTGACACACCAGTGCTATGCCACTTAGAGGAATGTTTGACCACAAACAATTAAAACCAGTCCTGAGGGCCGTAGATTAAAATCACCCAGCTTTGCCTTTCTACTCACTGGGCCAACAGAGCTCTCTCTAGTCTCACAGCAATTCTATGAACAACAGATCTGACATCTGACAGACAAGCATTGAACACATACGAACAGATGATAGACAAGCAAACGTATGCCTCGAAGCTGTTAACAGCAATAACATGCAAAGACACTTCCTCAATATGAAAACTGACAGATAAATTCTGCAGTGGTCTTCCCCACTCCCAACCCCTACCCCCTGTCCCAGAGGCTGTAAGGCGAGGGCCCAACTAACCCCTAATATGATGGCTCAGGCGCCAGTCACTCCTGCCCATTATCTGCAGGCTCCCCAGTGAAGATGGCTCAGGCTCAGCTCCCCGCTGTGTGTTTGTTTGTTTGTTTGTAGACTTCCTAGTGCAGCTCCATGTCAGGGTGCTGCCACTTGCAGGCTTGAATGAGAGGAACTGACACAGTGACTGTGGCAGTGCAATCAGGTGTGTCAGAAATGGTGAGGTTGTCTCGGTATAAGGCAAGGTTCAGAGCCATTGTTCAAAGGGTTGCTGTGAATTGTAGTTAAATTGATGGCACGTGACAACTACTGAATTCTTTTTTTCAATATTGGGCAACTCATAACATCAAAGCAAAAGAACTACTCAGTCTACGAAATTAAAATTATCCTCTGAGAAATGACAAATGATTTTTTGAAAAATCTCTTTTTTTCCTTAGCCTACTGCCATTACCCCATTTCTGTCAGTGGTATGCACCAGGAATCACAATCTTTGTTAGAATTTGTTGTGATTAAATGCCATCAAGTCAACCATGACTCACAGTGACCCTATGACAAGGGATCTGAACCCTGTTCTATCTTTTGTCATAAAGCCTGGACAGAGGAAGTTGACAGCTTTATCTGTTGTCCATACCATTTCCATCTCCACGTTGATATTGTATTCTTTGATAGTGAGTGAACAATTTAAAGACAAAGTTAGTGTTATTAATTCCTATATTGCTAAAATTTTTGTTTTAACACACATTTTATTCTCCACAGTTTAAGAGAATCAGTGTCTCATTTTGGGTGCTGGCTTGAGGGGCAGGATTTTTCTGTCAGTTCTGGACAAAGGTTCTTATCTTGGTTTGGCACGGTGGGCCCAGAATTCCTTGGAGATCTCCATGCAACTTGGTTTGGCATGGTGGGTCTGGCATTGCTTGGAGATCTTGCTAAAATATTGTTAACAGTGAGAAAATAGCTATAGCTATGAAGAATGAGTTAACCCTTGTGTGACTTTAAATGATGCATACAGCACCTTCTTATTTCAAAAACATGAAAACTATGATTGTTACAGTTAAAATAGTGTTTGGTTTATTGGGCATTTTTTTTTGTTTGTTTCAGTGTTTTGGTTTTTGGGTTGCTTTTTTTTTTTAATGTCTAAAGCTACTGAGTAGCTTGAGTGAGGATATGAACCCAGATTTGTCTTATTCCAAAGGAATGGTTTTCCTTCACTGCTTGTTTTTAGTTTCATTTGTATGAAAGAGCCTGAAAATGTGCACACTAATGATGATCCCTTGTGTGTATGTTAGGCTAGTAGTTTTCATCATTTTGCATCTTCAGCTTTGAACAGTTCTTTTGTAAACATGTAAGGCAGCACAAATAGAATGTGTCTGTTGTATCATGCTTTCATTTACATGGTGTAAATACAGAAATTATAAAAATCAGTTTAAACATTACATGCCTATGCCAAACAAAGATCAAGGCAGTAAACAAAAGCTGATGGGCCTGTATTGTAAATAAAGTTTTTGGTACACAGGCACACCCATTTTTTTACATACTGTCTTTAGTCATCATGTCTTAATTGTTGCCAAAGAGATTGCATAGCCTGTGAAGTTTAATATATATACTCTCCCAGGCTCCTGTACAGAAAGTTTGTTGACTTCTAATTTCAATATTGAAACTTCAATATTGAATGAATAAACGTATTAAAAGTCAAGTGCCAGTTCCATCTCTGTGGTATATAACAGCAAAAACAACATCAAATTAACTAAATCCCAAAACCAAAGCCATCGTCATCAAGCTGATTCCAACTCATGGTGACCCTTCATCAGGTTTCCAAAGTTGAAAAGTCTGAATACAAGTCCATAGCCCCATCTTTGTCCCTCAGAGAAGCCAGTGTATTTGAACCACTAACCTTTGGATTCTCAGCCCGCCAAGTACCATACTACAAAAACTTACCTAGCCTATTAGAGAAGAAATAAGCAGTCTAGGTAAAAGAGGGAGGGGGGAAGATAAAAAGGGAGGAAGTACCTTTTTCTTAATAAGTCCAACTTTTAATAGTCTACAGTCATTTTACACATTTTTTTAAAATTCAACCTTAGAAATATTAAGCTGCATAAAACCCAAATTGAGACCCCTGGATGGGTGGTTCAAGTAATTAATCTGTTTGGTTGCTAATAAAATCACCTAGCAGTTACCTCAGAAGAAAGGTTTGATGATACACCCCTAGAAAATCAGCCATTGAGAACCCAGGGGAGCACTCACAATTCTGCTCTGACATCCGTGAGATCACTATGGGTCAGAATTGACCCAGTAGCAAACAGTTCTTTTTTAATAGCCCTGGATTACATAGACAGCCTGTTCAAAGAAAAGGTACTCAGGAATAGGAATTTTAAAGCCTAGATTATATTTCCCCAGTTCCTGATAACCTTAAGCTAGGGGTCTTTGGGGGCATTTAGGTGCACTGCTAGCCTAAAAACAGAGCTTCTCTTAGAATTTGAATCTACAGGTTCGAGGGACAAAGATGAGCAGTCTCTTCCTCCTGTGATTCATAGCCATGAAAAACCAGTGGAGGATCAACTTTGAGTTGGTTACAGCTTGATGGCAGTGAGTTGAATTTGAGCTATTGATCTGCCCGTAGTGGTTGATTCATCTACCCACACAGAGTGGTTGTTTATTATTGACTCATAGCATGCTGATTTGGACTAATGAGGTATAATTTTAGTATGTTTGATCTTCTTCATAGGTCAGTAAATTATACAACCTAGTCATTTTGTAATGATTTCAGTAGTGCTATGCGTTTTGTGCAGTTACATTGCTGACTTAGGTGTTTGCTTGGTTTGCTGTGGTGGTGGTTGATGTTAGGTGCTGTCAAGTCCAGTACGACTCACAGCAACCCTGAGAACAACAGATCTGACTCCTCTCCTATCCTGTGCCATCCGCACTCTGTCTGATACACTCAAGTCTGCTGCTTCAGTCACTGTGTCAGCCCATCTTGATGGAGTTCTTAAACTGACACTCCATCCTTCCAAGCATGATAGCGTTTTCCAAGGAATAGCCAGCTTTTCGTAGCAACAAGTCCCAAGTGTGAGAGATGAAGCTTTGGCATCTTTGCCTCTAAAGAGCTAGTGTTTTTTGTCTTCTTACTTTCATTGTTGAGAAGAAGCACAATGAAATACATTAATGCAATCAACCGTTTTTACAAGGAGCAATTGATTACATTGTTGGAGTTATAAAATTATTCCCACCCTCTTTTTTGATGTTTTTCCTCCATTAACATAAACTCACTGCCCCTTAAGCTTCATGTATAATTTTTTGAGTTGTTGTTGCTATGATTTTAGATATGTCTTAAAGGCGCAGAATGCATAAAGGAAGAGTTTGTGTTTTTTTTTTTTACTAGTTAAGCTAAACTATTATTTGGTTTTAAGAAGACTGCAGAAGGTAGTTTTGGTTTAAAGTTTTGTGATTACTTTAGGATATTGTTTCAGGTGTTTATTCAGTCTTCAGTGTTCTTGAAAATTGGGAGTTATGAGGATTTGAAATTCTGTTTTGTATTTTTCTTCAGTTGATTTGGGGTTGGGGGGGTGTGTGTGTGTGTGAATATTCTTTCTTTTTAATAATTTTTATTGTGTTTTTGAAAAAATTACAGAAAAGTTGGATTTCCATTCATTCATTGTTGTATATTTTCCTACCTACCCCCTGCCCAGATCATCGCTTTTCTCCTTCCCCCGCCCCCTTTATGCTTTTTTTGTTTTTTTGGAGATTTTAATGAACGTTTATAGAGAACTTGGCTTTCTAGTCAGTCATTGTTGCACATTTTCCTCCCTGCCCCACCCCCCAGTTTGCTTTTCTCTCTGAAAAATTAAAAAAATTCTTTCACTGTTCTACAATATCCCATCCCCAGTCCACTTTACTATGTAGCTCTTACTCTGGACTGTTGTCGTGCAACTAATACCTCATCAGATATTCTGTTTAAGCAGTTCTCTCCCTCATCTATTTCAATGCAGTGTACATTTAACATGACCTATTGGGCAGTCCAGACAAGGAACTCTATTACCAACTTATTGCTGAATTAGGTTTGCTTCTCTATCATTCCTGGCTCTACATAGTAGGCGGGGCACATTGCTGTTACCTGTGCCACAGGTTATGGTGACGTAAATGTTCTTTTGGTTCTTGGCTCAGACTTAATGTTTTTGTTCTCCCTGCTTGCTTTCTGATAGTATTATTTGTACATAGACTTTTTCAGTTGGGATATCTACTTGGAGTTTTCTTCATTATTCAGCAGCTGTCAACTGCAGTGCTGCCTCGAGATAGCACAGCTCCTCAAGTATAGATGAGCCCAGGTTCTGGTCCACCTTCCTTTATTTACTAGCTGCTTGGCTATCATCAAGGGGCTGTGTAGTGGCACAGTCTATTACATGTTATACTCTATACCAAAAGGTCTAGAATTTGACTCCAACAACTTGCCATGGGAAAAAGATGGACAAGATCCTTTTGTAAAGATCTGCACCCTCTACAGTCCAGTGGGAGGTTCCCATGTGCAACTCCACAGTGATAGCTTAAACCAGGGTCATATTTACTTAAGTTCCCTAAGCCAAAGTTTCCTAATCTGAAAATCCTTACAGAATACTTGGCTTAGTCTGCTACCTGGCTTGCAATAACAAAATAAAAGAATTTGGCTCCTCTTGTTGTCATAATTAATATTACTATTTTACAGTATTATTGTCTGATGTGGAAAATGAAAGCAGTTATTAGTTGTCTGTAGAAATAAACTCTAAAGCTTTCACTGAAATAGATTTGATATTCAACATAAAATTGAAAAAATTTATGTAAAAACTCACTTTATATGTTGTACTTGTTAAAAAAACATTTTAAAGGATAGTTAGGATTTTTGGATGAACATTCTGGGAAACCAACTAAAGCTGATAATGGTACAGTAAGATAATTGAAAAAGAATGTCTTTATAAACAGCCTGAAATAGTTCCCCAGATGCAATTTGAATAAAGGAAATAAATGGTTGACTTGAGGTCAGAGCAAGAATTCCTTAGTGTGATTCACTAGACCCTGGAAACCCCAGCATCGCATTTTCCCACTCCTTCTTGTTCAGAAAAATTTACTTTGGGTGAGGGTTACACTCTTGAGGCTGTTTTTTTCAAAATGTATTCTAAATTTGGATATTAAATGTGTAATCTTGGGCAGTTACCAAGTTTTTCAAATGGGTTAAAAGTTCTTGATGGGATTATTTGACAAATATTTTTGGAAATTTGTTTTCTTTATTACTGAAAATAGGTATATTATTTTTTGGTTCCTGTATTTTGATGACAAATAGAGTGAAAATAGAAAAAAATTATATTTTTTGGCATTGGCTGTAAGAATTATTTGCTAACTGAAAGTTTATGTTTTCCATTATTTCTTTTTATCCTCAAAATAAAATAAAAAGGCATTTTTCCTCACCTGCTTCTAGGTATACAGTATTCCTTAATTTAAATTTCATTTAAATTCATTGTCTAATATTCAGAATTATCTTTTTTGAAAACTGCAAAAAAAAAGGAGGAAATGGTTATAAGAGTACAAAACTGTTGAGTCTAGTGTCAACTGGAAAATACTTGAAAGTGTTGTGTTTACAATGTGCATTTTAATTTGACATTCGTGCTGGGCATGGTGAAGGAACTCTGGTGTTGCAATGGTGAACTACACGGCTACTAATGAAAAAGTTGGAATTTCTGCCCACTAACAGCTCCAGTAGAGAGCTCTGATGGCCTTGTGGTAAGAAGCTGTGCTGCAGGCACACCGTTCTAATCCACCAGCTACTCCAAGGGAGCAAAATGGGCAGTCTCTTCTCAAGTGTTGGTTCTGACTCAGCGGTACACAACAACAACTTAGAAAAAAAAGACATGAAATCTTCTCGCCTAATGGTTGTTGTTATGTGCCTTTCAGCTGAATAGACTCATTGCTGACTGTCCTGAATTTTCAGACAATAAATTGCACAGGAGATTGCTTGTCTGTCTCGGCTGAGCAGCTGGTGGATTCACACTGCTCGTCTTTGGGTTTGCAGCTCAACTCCTTACCACTAGGCCGTCAGAGCTCCCTCCCAGGATGATTCCAGCCTGAGCTTCTCTTTTGTTTTGTTGTGAAGTGCCATGGAATCATTTCTGGCTCGTAGAGACACTCAGTACAGCAAAATGAAACACTGCTCAATCCTTTGCCATCCATACAACTACTGTGCTTTTAGCCTGTATTTGTGGCCACTTTATCATCTTGTCAAAGATCTCTGCTCACAGCTCTGTTCCGTTACAAGGTGTCGCCGAGTTGTAGTTGACTATATGACAAATCCCACCATCTAAACATGTTGAGAAGAAAATTGCACATCTTGAGCTTCATGAGATGTTTACTGAGTTACATCATTCCTAGTACTCGTGTTGTTAAAAATAATTTTTATTTGGTATAATATTTTTAAATGTATGTATAGGAAAAATGAATACATTAAGAATGCATATAATTTAGCAAAAACATAACTGGAAGGTAATAGCAACTGCAGGATAAGGGAGAAATTTCCACTTGCAGTTGTGTGTTGTCTTTTTTTTTTCTGATTACAGTTTTTAACCTGTAGGTGCAACTGGTTAGTGTTTTCTGTAATCAGTATGTTTTTGTTGTTGTTACTTGAAGTGAAAACCAAATTAGAGCTGATCTCTAATAGGTTTTCAGAGGCTTTAAGTCACAAGGAAGAGATTTCTCATCTTTCTCCCACGGAGCATCTGATAGATTCAAGCTATGTGCTTTACGATTGACAGTACAGCTTCTTGCTACTAGACCACTAGAACTTCCTATACAGTGTTTGGCTTTTAAAAATTGTCGGGTTTGTGTATTGTAGAGTCGGAACCTACCCATTACTGTCTCTCCAGTGGGTTTTCAGAGGCAGGTAGTCACAGGGGAGGAGATTGCCCATTCTTCTCCTAGGAGCCGCTGGTGGATTCAAACTGTGTGCCTTCAGGATTGCAGTGCAGTTTCTTGCCACTAGACCACCATTGCTTTCCTTTTTTTAGTTATTGATTGAAAACCCACTATGCAATCAGTATAGGGGGTCTCGTTAATTTTTTTTTTTTTAAAAAGACCATATTAGGAAATACAGGTTTATTGCACACAGTTTTAATGATATGAAAGTTGATTCCCTGGGTAGGTCAAATGGTTAAGCATCTAGTTGCCAACTAAAAGGTTCGTAGTTTGAATCCAACTAGCAGTGCTTCTCTTCTCTTCCGTTACGTGAGAGTAAGAGGGAGAGGATGCAGTCAGAGTGATTTTGGTTCAGTGTACTTTCACCAAGGAGCTCTGTGGCCTACTAGTAAGAAGCGAAGCTACCTTTAAATCCCAAGGCATGCAGTTCAAATCCACTAGCTGCTCTGTGAGAGAAGGTGAGCAGTCTCCTCCCTTGCGATTTACTGCTTCTGGAAACCCACTCAACGGTCAGGTATGGGTCGGTCCCCATGCAATAACTCAAAACAACAACAGCAAGTGCCACAAAGCGAAAGTCTGGCAGCCTACTGCTGTAAATAAAGTGTTTCCGTTGAAAATCTTGTGGAATGTAGTTCTACTCTGACACACAAGGGATTGCTTTCAGTTGGAGTCTGTTGGATTACAGTACGCTTTTGTTTTTTTTAAATTCCACACAAGTTTGTGTGTGTGTGTGTGTGTTTAAATATAATCTTGCTGTTAGTTGTGGTTTAAAAAGTACTTGAAATGCAGTCTCTTAGGTTAACAATTTTTTTTCTTTGGTGTTCAGTGCAGGTACTTTAATCTCTGTTTCCTTAGAAAATGGTGCTTCTGGGGAGCTCTGGTGGCCTAGCGGCAAGAAGCTGCACTTCAATCCCAGAGGAGTGCAGTTTGAATCCATCAGATACTCTGCTGGAGGAGGGGCAATCTCTTCCTGTCAGATACGATTTGACAGTACACACACACAAAATAATAAAAGAAAAGAAAATGGTGCTTCTGATCATACATACTAACATTATTACAATGTGATAATAACCAGCTAAGTGCCTGAATGAATGAAACCATTGCATTGTTTTAGGACTATAGTGATAGCAGATTTTTCTCATGTTTTGTTATGTGTTGTTTGTTTGTTTGGCTTGTATATATTTCCAATCTTTTTATTTTAGAAAATATTGATGCTGATGGACAGGGATTTTGTCAAGGAGGATTCAGCATTGATTTTACTAAAGTAAGTCCCCTCATTTACGAGAAATGATATTCTCATCTACTTTGTTTTCCAAACTGTGGTTGAAAATGTATTGCCTTCCACAAAACATGTATTGCCCAGTCCTTCATCTTCTGTAAAACGATTAATTATTTAACAAAAACAGCAAAGAAATGACTCATATTATTTAATATTTTTTGCTTTATGGGGGTCACTCCCTTGCTGGCAAACTTACTTGTTTTTAAAGAAGGAGATATCAAAATGGAAATGGAGGAAACGAGGGAAGTCCTCAGTAAGTGAGAGTACCTATTGTAGTGTACTAAAATTTTCTGAATTGAACTGAAATTGCTTTCTCAAAAAAGGTTATCATTGGAAACTCTGTCACTCAATAAGATTTAGTTCTGTAAAGCCTGAGAAACGTGTATTTTAGCTCTTCTTTTTGGACCTTCAGGCACAAGATGATGCTAAAGCATTTTCATAATTCAGAGTAATTTCAAGTCCAGAATCTCTGTGTACTTTTTATTACATGGAGATTATTATTGTGTAATATACTTTTCAGAACTAATGATTTTATCTCTATTTAAATTAAGAATTATTTTTCTATTTCTAAAGCCAACTTTTACAAAGTATTATTCTTTTCATAACTTTATGTATGGGATATATGAACATTTTTTAATAGTTTCTGTCAAATTGAGGGACTAATTCCTTTTAGAAGAATCTCAAGTATATATTGATTAGGTTTGGTTTGTTGTTGTTTTTTTTTTAAAGAGTCCCACAGAATGCTATTTTCTTAGAAAATATATGCAAATACAAGTCTCATAAATTCATGGAAATAACAGAAACTATAATCTTGTGATACACAATTATCAAGAAAATGTATAAATTGATTGAATTTTTTGCTTTTGGCATCATGTTTTATAATATTAACTACAGTAGATCAAATACTAAATTGTCACTGCACCTTGTCTGTTCCTTTACCCTACCTGTCTACTAATCTTTGTTGCCTTCAACTTTTTTGTCCCCTCCCTCTTCTATTCCCATCATCTCTTCTTTCCCCTTCCTATTGGAACAGTTATACATTTCCTGTTCCAAGTTGCTAATTGCAGTTGGGTCCTTGATTTTTAATTTACTTAATATGATATTGCATTACTTATAAGTCCAAAAAATTCAGAAGTCAAAGAGATAACGTATTTTGATATAGAAGGAACATTGCATGCTATATTTTAAAATATGTATTGTATTTTTGAAAGAAGTAGCTTTGTTTTCTGTACTCATGTCTGTATGCTATCATTTCAGAACCATTTTCATGCCATGATGTCATTGCTAATTTTACTGTTGAGTTTCTTAACCCCACTTCTGGGAAATAAAAATGAGGTATCATTTTTAAAATACAAAGTGACTTTAAGACTAATTTCTAAGGATCTTTTGTAGAGCCAAAGGCAAGCATTTGTCTGTTGAAGGGTTGAAAACATGAGTATATATACATTTGGAGGAAAAAATTCTCTTCCTTTCAGCAATAAGAAAATTAAAATAATACAGTTAATAGAAAATATCTTGAGTTGGTTTGTTACATTTCTGAAAAATGCTAGTCAAGTAAAATTTATATATATGATATACTTTGAAATATTTATCTGTCAGATGCTAAAAATTATTTTAGTGGAAGAGAAAATTTCTTAACAGTTAGTGGTGGAAGAATTTGTATGAGTAATCACAGTCATGATGTACAAAATTAAAGAATGATAGTTTTTCTATTATATAACCCAATAGACTTTGTGCTAGTACTTCAGACCAAGTATAGGGAGCATCTGAGACTCACAGAATACGTATCTATATCTATATATACATTTGGAAAAAATATATATATATATTACATTTGGAAGCAAGAGTGGCATCCACTTCCTAAATAACATCTCTGGAAACTCTACAAACTTTGATAAAGGCCGATGGTTGTAGAGGGGCTTCAGGCCTTTTATTTACGGAGTTGCTATGAGTTGTGCTTGACTCAAAGACAGTCAACAATAACAACAACATTTATATATACTTAGGTATTTTCTGTATATTAAATGGGAAGTATTACTGTTTTAATTTCTAATTTTTATTGTATTTGGAAGAATTGCAGTGCAAGCTACTCTTTCTAAATATGCGGTTTTGTGTTGTTTGATTCAATATAGGCTGACAGAGTACTCCTTGGAGGTCCTGGTAGCTTTTATTGGCAAGGTAAGTTAATATTTTTAATTCAGTGACTTTATGTCTCTAATTTACCTGGTTTACTCTGTGCCCATGTGAATGATTTTCTTAAAAAGCAAAAAAATAGAAAATACAATTGAAGTATAGGCAGTTGCAGTTTATAAACAGCTGCTACTTAGGTACCAATTAGGCATCGGTCCCCTTAAAAGCCTATTATTACATTAAAAATACAAGATACATACAATAATTTGTATTAACCAGTGGGCCTTACTTTGTGATGCACATTTAAACATTATTACTATATTATTATGTTATAGATATTTTAGGAAGTCTTGTCTTTTTATATATATATATAATTTTTTTCCCCCGCAAATAGCATAAAAACTTTTATTAGGTAGTTTTTCTGGGGGGAAATTGTCTCATGTAAACAGAAAGCAGATACTCCAAATAAAATAAATGGCATCAAATGTCTTTCAAATTGACCAGTCTTGAAATATATTGCGTTAAAGATATTTTCACTCCATGAAATTAAACAATATCTTTCAGTGTCTTTTTATAGCAAATTTTGGTATTTCAGTATATTGCCTAAAAATGACATTTGTTAAGATTCTTGATGATGGGAGATTCTCTTTAAGTAGAAATTTCAACTTATAGAATGATCTTCACTACATTAAACATAAGGTAATAAAATAAAATTTTTTAAAAAATCCTGTTTTTGATGAGTGAGTGAGCAAATATTAAATTGTCTTTAATTTTTTTATAACTATAAATCTACTAAGAAATATATGACTCATTGACATTAGATACGGACATACTTCACTGTTGCAATCTGTACAAATACAACTTAAAGATCTAGAAACAGAAAGCGTTCCTATTCCAGGGACCTCCTGTTTAAACAGTCAATTATACAATATTTTTTTTATTGTGTGTGTTTGTGTGGTAGAAAATAAATGAGATTTAAAAAAAAAAATTATAATTATAATTAAAAATAGTTTATTTTTGATGGTGGTATACACTTTTTATAGCATAGTCTCTAATTTCTTCATAAGTCACTGCTTTTCTGTTTCTGTACACTAGTGTCTGTGATGTAAGCATTAGAAAGCACGTGGAACTGATATTTCATGGGCAAACTGTGACGTTCTGAAAGCTCATGGTTTTAGAAGCATTTTGAAGTTACTCCCTAGAATATTAAATGATGATTTTTCTCACCAGTCTTGAACCCCAAGGACAGGCTCCTTAAGTGTTCAGGACTGTTTGATTAATGGGATCTTACTGAGGTATTTTTTTTAAATATAATTAATTAGCATTGATGTGAAGAAAAACTTACTTTATTCAGTCATTGTGGAAGACCTAACTTTTGTAATTTAAACAAATGTTTGACATACTATTATATTTTACAACTTGAAAATAAGGAACTAAACCCATCTTATTGTTTATTTACATTTGTTTTGCCATTGACAATGTAGAATTACTCATTTAGCTAGTATTTTGACGTTATTTTCTGCAAAAACATGCTTGCTTACAAAGACAGAATTCTGTGTGGTAGTGCTCCGATATGAAAACATTGTCAGTATTTGAAACATGTAACTATATTGATTATACCGAGTCATAGCCGACTCTCCAGTGGGTTTTCAGAGATAGTAAATTGCACAGGATATCGCTCATCTTTCTTCTGTAAAGCAGCTGATGGAATTAAATTATATTATTTATATTAGATTATATATTTATACTATTTATATTATGTTATTTATATTATATTAAATTACACACATACATATACATTTGTTATTGATTACATCGAGTATGACTCATAGTGACCCTATGAACAAAAGGCCTGAAGCCTTTCTATAACTATCGATATTTATCAAAGTTCATAGAGTTTCCAGAGGCATGTTGTTTAGGAAGTGGATGCCATTCCTGCTTTCAGTGCATATGTATACATATACATATGTACACATATACATATGTATACACACAAACACATATGATTTGTTGTTATGTGGTGTTGAGTTGGAACTGATGTATAGTTGACACCTCAGTGAGTTGTTTCATAGCCAATAAATTAGAAGGGAGGAGATTGCCTATCTTTCTACCCTAAGCAGCTAGTAGATTCGAACCACGTGCCTTTGGTTGACAGCACAGCTTCTTAACACTAGGCCACCAAACTTCCTTATATAGATTAGAATATACATTTTATCTATGTTATATAGAATATAGATATAGATGATTGTTGTTATGTGCCATTGAATTTGGGAGGAGATTGCCTGTCCTTTTCCTGCAGAGCAGCTGATGGCCTCAAACCTTATGCCTTCAGGATTGCAGCACTGCTTCTTGCCACTAGACTATCAGAGCTAATATATATATATA